CGACCCCGTGGTCACTTCTTGTGGTAGACTGTCACTACAAAACATTTATTATTAAATTGCGATAAATATGCCGAGTCAAAAAGTATATGTCCCTTGCCTAATATTTTACATGAAATATTTGCAGATAACTAGGACATCCAGAACATTTTTTTTTAATTTGTAAGATTAATGGATGTAATAAACAATTGTTAAAAAATTAGCATCCGTTCAGTTATGGAAGGGTGGCTGCACACATGTTTAGAAAAAGGTAGGAATGCGAGGGACAACCGTATGTTTATTGATGCTGTCCTCTACAGATATAGATCTACCTGGCGATATATTACTAGGATTTCGTCGATTTTAAGGTTATGCACACTTACCCGGCCATGAGACGCTACCCGTTGCTACTCGACGACTTGCCACGTTTTGGTAGGGTGTGCACATCTGTGCGAAGTCCAGCGCACGTCACGCACAGTCACAGCGTGAATCACAAATTATTATCACAATCGCAAAGCCTCTTTTGTTCTTAATGTACTATTTTGAGCAAAACCTTGTAATAATTTGTTAGTAAAATTTTATGAGCACAACCATGTAATAAATTGTTTGTTAAACTTAATTGTTTTAAATAAAGTTATTCCGGTGTTTTGATAAATGTTTGTCTAACCATCATAGTTAAATAATTTTTATAAAAACTTATGAATGTTTGATCTCGTTTAATTTGGTTTACATTAAATGGGAATGTTGAATTAATATAACGACACAATTACGTATACTTATTTGAAATAAACTACAAAAAATATGAGTGTCCTGTTCTGAAGCTACTCGACGAAAATGGTGTAATTTTATGAGCAAAACCATGAAATAAATTATTAGTTAAATTTTATGAGCAAAACCGTGTAATAAATTGTTAGTTAAATTCATTATATCAAAAAATGGCACTACGGTGTTTTGCTCAATTTTTTAAAAAACCATTAAAATTAATTTTTTTTAAAATAAAAACTAATCAATTTTTGATCTCGATTAATTTGGTTTATATTAAAATAAGTATTTTGTAATTAATATAACTACATTAATACATGTAATTTGAATAAAAGTATGAGTGTCCGGGTTTTTTGTCTTCGTCTGTACTGGATGCGACCCGACGAAAATCTGGACAGTGGAGATCGCAGAGCGTTGAGTAGGGTAGCATAGCATAGCATCGGGCAGATGTGCATGGGGTAATATAATTTTATGAAAAAATGTACTTTGAATTTGCGTCGGGTAGCATTGGGTAGCGTCGCATGGCATTGCATCGGGTGTGTTCCCGGCTTTATTCGTATGCGGTTTAGTCGATGGTGAGAGTCGGATGTCTGGTTAGGTTATGTGACTATCTGTCAAAGAATGATGATAACGAATATAAGATGATCGCACAATGCTGGAACGAAGGGAAGAAGCTGAGAAACTGGCTATACACCGTAGTCACCTAGTTCACAGATTCATACCACTGTACATTCTCGGTTACACTACCGGTTTTCATCTTGCTACAAATACACATGATGTACTTGAACCCCTGCTGAAAGTGTGATTGTCGGTCGTTCTTATGATGCCGATGAGAGGCTTGTGGAGCCGTTGTAGGCGCAGGGAAAAAGATTATTATTCCTGCCAAAGGAAATCAGAAGAAAGATGGGAGTACTATCGTGAGTTATATAAATCCAGGCTCTCATTGAGAATTTCTTTGCTCGATTGAAACTAATCCCGTGGAATTGCAACTTGTTATGATCGAACAGTCAATCTAGTGACTCGCTAGCTTCCATTATTATTCTCCTCAGACCAGGTGGCATAGACAGTCTATATGGAGCCAAGGACATCGTAGTACGTAAAATACCCGCAGTCTATGTGTCCACCGCGCAGTGATGGGCAAAAATTAGTCATGTCTAATGATAAATGATTGATCACTCAGACCGTTAGTCATTTCATAGACTAATTTAGTCATTAGTCGCCATATGATTGATGGCTAAGTTAGTCATGACTAGTAATTAAATACGAGGCATGATTAATTTAGTCACAATATAGTTAGTCTTGACTAAATTTCGATAAATCATGTTCAAATGGGTGCTCAAAAAATGAAAAATACACAACTTCATCACTTTTAAAAAATTTTCTAACAGAAATTTATTTCATCAAAACGAAAATCCTTCAACACCTTATTTAACAAAAATCAATCTTTCAATTATAAGTAAAACTCCGTCGTTATAAAAAGCCAAAAAATAATGATAATAAAAATAAAATAAAAAAATCCTAGAACAAGCTACGCATTGAAAAGTAAATATGTTTACATAACCGATCAATGGAAAAATATTTCTTTGAATTAAAATTTATTCCACTTAAAAGGAGAGATTTCTACATTATTTGGAAAATACACCATCTAGGGGTCTTGATTGTAATAAAATAGACATGTAGAATAATTATGTAACTTTGGTTTTCGTTTATGATAACACTTTTTGAAGGTTGGCCTTGAGCACGACTCTCATCTCAAAATTTTTATCCGGAGTCGGTTGGATTTTGGTAAGTTGGTCATTGTAGCCAGAGTTGGGCAAAATCAAACTAATTCAATCATGATTAAGAATTTTGATTGAAGTTTAATCATGATTGAATTAGTCATGAGTAAATTAAACATTATATGATTTAGTCATACCTCATGATTGAATTAATTATGATTAAATCATCTAATGATTAATTTACTCATGACTAATCCAATCATGATTAAACTTCAATCAAAATTCTTAATCATGATTGAATTAGTTTGATTTTGCCCAACTCTGCCACCGCGTACGACCTTTGTTATATGAGAAAGGTTTCTTCTCAGATCATGATCTTCAGAAGACCACGTATCGATTGTGCCTTGATTCTCAGATTTTTTCAATTTTAGTACATTAGTTTTTTTTCTACGGTTAAAAAAAAAGTTTACACTTCACTATTGGTCTACTTATTCACGGAATCTATGGTAGGTTAGCTATAGTAACGTTATATTGCTGGTAGGTGCATCATATACCAATTCTTAAAATATAACAACGAAAATGCCTACGTAGTGAGATTATTAAACACGATTTTTTTAAATGTTTGGAAATTAGGTGTAAAATTAAATAATTTCCACAAATCCCGCTCGTGCCATTAACTTTTTTTCATCCCAACTAAAAACCTTAATTAATTGTAATGTATTAATTAGTCAAGCGGACCACGAAATTAGTGAAAGTAAATACAACATGGAATCTATCAATGGCCGATTGGTTAAGCCGTCCGACTTGTATTTGTCAAGTTAGCGGGTCTGGGTTCGAATCCCATTTAATTTTAATTAATAACAATATGAAAAACTGGGGGACCGCGGTAGCCGAGTGGTTAGCATGAGAGACTCTCACGCCGCGGTCGTGGGTTCGATTCCCACCGTCGCCTCTGGCCCTTTTTTCGCGATAACCTCCAATTTGAACATCTATAAGAATTCGTCATGGCTAATATGCAAAGATCATAAGGCAAAAAAAAAAAAGTATTCGAATTTAAAATAAAAACGAGTAACAAAACCATATAAAAAAAGAATTACAACAAATAAATCTTTCGATCAAAATCTCACCTAAGTTTATCACTTATCTTAAATGTTATTGAAATTTACAATGTGAAATAATGAAATGAGACAGCTTGATAAACAGAATTTAATTTCATCATATTATGTATTTAAGATTATTGCTCGGAAAATATTAATTTGAAATATATAATAGAAATTTCTGGATATAAGAGATAAATTAAACAATACGTGGAACTCCAATATTAACTGTTCCAATATTAACAAACAATTTGCCTTTGCTGAGCTATTTCTATAAAGTTACAATACAATAATCGTATTGACATTTTCGATCAAATAATATGGCTAAAAGCTCATTTGAGACGGTTGCGCGAATTGAAACGAAACTTTTCCAATATCGTATATATTAACTTGACGACATACTTTGACATATTGGCTTATTTTGCATAACAGCTTAAACTTTCGCCTAAAAGGCTCGAAAAGACAGTCGAAGTATAAACAGGTAAGTATTAACAAAGACGAGTATCACAAAAAGCGAAATAAGCATCTTATTTACAATAAATCGATTAATTATTATTTACAAAATCTTTCCCTTAAATATATATGTTGCATGTTATATAACGCAGCTTTAATGTTTAATAATAATATTTATTTAGTAAGAAAAATTTACAAAACAAAATAGCCAGAGCGTTTCACGTCATGGTAGAAATAGTAATCTTTTGGTTTATACTGAATCTTACTAATAACTTTTTTTCTAGCCTGGTATTTTCAACTTATTTTTCAAGTTTGTACTTTATTTAAAGCTTGGGATAAATAATTGTTATTAACTTGTACTCTCAGCAATCCGCTCAGTTGCATTGATCTAAAATTTGTTAAAGAACGAATTGACAAGTAGAAAAAAAAGTATAGTTTTAAAAATTCATAATTAAAAGAGGCAAAAGAATAAAGGGCCATCACAATAACCTGAGATCTCAATTAAACATTGCCAAAAAAAATTATTTTCTAAATTATCAACCAGTTGGGAAGTTTTTCTTGAAAATGAGAAAGAAATCAAAACTTTTCTACTACACATTAATAAATTATTACAAATATTTTTCTTCAGTGAAAGCAATATTTTAGTTGTTCCTAATGTAAAAAGCAATAGGCATGTCTATTACAGAGATATGGCGATAAATTATTAACTCTGAAGTTGTATAAGCCTGTAAAGTTTCATATTAAGTTCAGAAAGAAGGAAGGGCAACACGCTTCCGAGGTGAATTTCTTGCTCCAAACAGTAAGATAAGGGTGCTTTAAAATGGCCGCGCTTATTGTCTGCGGTGTGTTGACCTAGCCCTTTTGTTCCGGGCAGGGCCGTGATCAAGTGTTCTCCGATAGGCCTAGGCTGTGAAAGGGCCGTTATCAGCTTTTCTCCTCGTCTTAAGCCCTTTGAATCATAATGGTCGCTAACGAGCACGTCTGTTTATTTCAGGCCATCGGCGACGGAGACGAGCACCACGTCGAAAAAAGACAGGCCAACATCATCGCCAGGATGGCCCACCTGCAATCGTACCCTAGGTACTACAGCAACATAGCTCCCAAGAGGGACGAGAAGAGCTCGCTGGACGAACTGGCAGAAAGACTCGAGGAAGAAGAGTTTGCCAAAAGGTGACTATCAATATCATTACTATAATTATAAACCTCCCCGACTTGTAGGTTGATCGTCTACGATGTCCTATTTGCAGACCAGGATAATCAGAGATGATAAACGTACTATTTCAATCCTCACAAATCTCACCACAATGATTCCCACCTTTCAAAATCTTATAATTTTTTCTTGACGTCTTCGCGGTGACGAATCTATTAGTTTGGTATTTTTCTTTCATCTTGATCTACCTGTTCTACCTTCCTTCATTTAATTCCTTATCAACATCACCACAATGTTTCCTACCTTTAAAACTTTGATTTTTTTTTACATCTGCGACTTGATGAATCTACAGTTTGTATGTTTCCCTTCATCTTGATCTACCCATTCTCTCTATTTTATTTATTTATTTATTTTTTTTTTTTTTGTATGACGTGCATTTATTTTTTTTTGTATGACGTGCTTTAGGGATAATTCCATAACTACAGACCAGCATAATCTGATATCAAGCTACTATTTTAATCCTTGACGTCCTGGCCAAAACGTTTCACATATTTCAGAGCTTTGATTTTTTTTTTTACATCTGCGACTTGATGAATTTATAGTTTCGACGGTTCCTTTCATCCTGATCTACCCATTCTCTCTATTCTTTTTCATTTTTTTGTATGACGTGCTTTAGGGATAATTTATTAACTACAGACTTGGATAATAATCTGATATCAAGCTACTGTTTGAATCCTCGACGTCCTGACCAAAACGTTTCACATATTTCAGAACTTTTATTTTTTTTATTGACATCTGCGGCATGATGAATATATAGTTTGGACGTTTCCTTTCATCCTGATGTACCCATTCTCTCTATTCTTTTTCATTTTTTTGTATGACGTGCTTTAGGGATAATTTATTAACTACAGACCAGGATAATCTGATATCAAGTTATAATTTTAATCCTTGACGTCCTGACCAAAACGTTTCACATATTTCAGAGCTTCGATTTTTTTTTACATCTGCGACTTGATGAATTTATAATTTCGACGTTTCCTTTCATTCTGATCTACCCATTCACTATATTTTTTTTGTATGACGTGCTTTAGGGATAATTCATTAACTGCAGACCAGCATAACCTGATATCAACCTACTGTTTGAATCCTCGACGTCCCTGACCAATACGTTTCACATATTTCTGAACTTTGATTTTTTTTTTTTTTTTACATCTGCTACTTGATGAATTTATAATTTCGACGATTCCTTTCATCCTGATCTACCCATTCTCTCTCTATTTTTTTCTGACGTGCTTTAGAGATAATTCATTAACTGCAGACCACCTTAATCTGATATCAATCTACTATTTGAATCCTCGACGTCCTCACCAAAACGTTTCACAAATTTCAGAGCCTTAAATTTTTTTATTGACTACTGCGCGTGAACCTGGTCAACCTGGTTTTTCTAGTCTCACTTGTTTACCCTGTCAACCACAGTATTTGTAAGTCATGTCATTTTAATATGTTTTTACTATTGACGATCATCTCAAAGATCCGCTAATGTTAGATTTTACACGTCCATAACATCGCAGACGACAACAAAAAATCTTTCAATACAAAGCCTTCTCTTTTTAATACTAAAACATAATTTAATAGTTTTATTATTAATATGACAATTCTAAGTCTAGCATTGAAATATTTTTCTTATGTCAATGAATCTATCAACTAACCTGCTCTTTCTAATCTATATCTATCCTTATTTTATTGTTCTGTCATACACAACCCCACGACAGACGTGTCATAATGTGCTGACAGACCAATGCAGGTAAAACATAATAGCTAATTAGAGAGAGATTGATTGATAGTCATATGGTCAAAACGTCCAAACCACACCTTTTAGAATGTCGTATAACTTACATATATCCTTATATTAGCGTAACTGTTGGTCTGCAATTTGCTCGAGATAAACATAGTTAAAGCTATAAAATAGATTGAAAACATGGATTAACATAAGTACAATAAATCGTTTTCCTGTCGACTATCACCATGGATAAACATCTTAGACAATTAAGCTGGCTTTAGTGTACAAAGTTTCGAATTGTCTGCACATAAGAGTAACGAAACAAAAGACCTGATAAAAGTATGAAAGCAAAACGATTCTAGAATGAACCAGATAAGAGGACCTGATATGCATGAGCACGGCATGTACCGCCATCATTTTAGATAAACGTGCTAGTGCTCAAACATAAATAAGAAGAAAAAGATATTTAAATTCTGAAAGAGGACTCGTCGTAAAACATTTTTATATTTATTACTATTCTAATCTCAAACGTTGTTTTTAAAACTCATGGAAAATATAATAACAGGTCTGAGTTTATTATTCTAGTAAGGTGTAAAATCAAATTTTCCTTAGTTAAATTTTACTGGATAGTAAAACTAGTTTAACTATTTGTTGAAGTGATGCAAATCGATAAAAGACTTTTAAAGCTAGGCGGAGGCCATAAAGAATCAGTTCGCTCTTCCTGCGGATCTGGATTTATCACCGCATAAAATTCGAATTTGAAATAAGTTCTCATTTTAGACGTCTCGTTTTACAACTTCGGCAATTAAGAAACTTAAGAAGCTCCAGGGCGGGTTGCCGAGCCCTAATTGAGCAACATTCAGATGGCTCGCACGGCTCATAAACTAAAGTGGGACTTATTTTTATATTTTTTCGAACACTTTTTGTAAATGATGGTTCTACTCACAGATTTGTGTTTACAACGATCCGGATTTTAAGCATTAAACGCTCGTCAACAAGTTGAAGGAGTTACAAACACGTCTCTCCACATGAATTGTAATAGTCGCGTTGGCGGTCTTTTTTTATTGCTTAACAATCCTTATTGTTTAGGAATTTTTTAACTTTTGAAACGTATTTTTGGTGTTCGATGATAAATATACTATTTTCTTTATCGGCTTCTAAAATAAGGCTGTGGTTACCTTTTAACTTTCAATTAATTAAGTTTATTAGTTGAGATAAAAAGGCAGTGTAACGAGCGGGATTCGTAGTATATCTTCACGAAAGCTCTCCGTGGCCGTTTCATTTGTCACCGAGAATCAAATAGATTACACGCCATTTGAAAAATGGCAAAAAGGAAGGAAAATTCAAAAGGTGTGGTTGAGATGGGAAGTCAGTGGCCGAGTGGATCGAAGTCATGATGGTAGAGCAGCGGCGTATCTAGTCGAAGGTCGTGGGTTCGAATCCCGCTCGTGACACTGACTTTTTTATCTCAACTAAAAAACCTTAGTTAATTGTAAGAAAACTAGTGAATTTACTTTTTAACTTTTTATCAATAGACTTAATTGTACGTGGGATATTTATTTTTTTGACGTTTAGATCTATCAAATTTGGTTTAATTACTTTAGCTCATTTATATTTTATATTTGTATTCATTTTACTACAATCAACCGATGAACGAAAGGATATTCGTTTAGTTGAATATAGTTCTGTTTTCCGGAAAAATTTAAAGCCTTTATTTAATAAATTGATTTCTTCTTTTATAGTTTATAACCCTCAGGTAAAATTTAATAGGGTAGTTGGGTTCGTACGAGTATTTTTAACTGTACTTACTTCTTGTTTATATATTATAATATTTTTATCCATGGATCGAATTTATCCCAATGTAATGTAGATAATAATGGAGCTTTATGTAAACAAAATATAGAAAAAAATCATTTTGTATCTGTTAGACTATATAATTTATGTAAGTCATTATTTAATATGGTTTTATGGCATTTACGTTGTAAGAGAGTTGAACAGTTCTTTTTATGTAAATTAGGAAGAACGTATTTTGGGATTATGTTTAATGTGAAGTGATTAGTGACCGTTAGTCGATGATTATTCGGAAATCGTGAGATGCGGTCTAGTGTGACGTAGGTTTCAGAAACACATTTTCTTTATCGTGCCAACGTTTCGATCTTTATTGAGATCATCTTCAGGGCCTCGGATTTACAAACAATGTTTAAATTTAACAATTGCATGTAGGATGTGGAAAAAAATGAATTTATACAATGCAAAAAATATTTTTTATATTCAATCAAGCATTGGAAATTGACCTAGGTTGATTTGTTGAGTTTCGAACATGAAATCCTTAAAAAATTTATTTAATTGCTGAGTTTAATAAATGAAATTGGCCTAGAACCTTTCGATAAACTATTTTGTTGGTGTTTGAGCAGATCGGGAGATATCCGGGTGACTGGTGACCTGGAGGAAAAGAGAGACGAGCTCGAGGGCCTGGTTCACGACCTCGCATCCGCCGAGGAAATGCGTCGAACGAGGCTCGAAGCGCTGAGAGAAGAACTTTTCAGGGAACGCGAACTCGAGGAAGAAATGCCTGAGGAAAAGCGCTCCTTCGCCGCCCTCGCGAGGGTCGACGCTCTTCCAAAACGGGTACGCTATTTGGCAATTGGTTCGAAAGAGTAAACCGTTCAATACTTGATTCTTGAGCGTTTTTCGTTACAGATTTTAGACGACGACAACTTTTCAGAAGACGCCTCCGATGATAAACGAGGGATTTCTTCTATCGCGAGAAATGGATACTACCAAAAAAGGATGGACGACGACCTCGAACAGTTAATGAGCGAGGTAATAAATTTCATTAATTTTTATACATTGAACATTTTCCTAAATCATGAAACGTGGAAAACGTTTTGTAATTCATAAAAACAAAAATAACACATTTGAACACAACACTTAGATCTATATTTTACATATAGTACAGTAAATTTATATATAGTATTGAAAAATAGTAAATATTATTAAAAGTAACAAATTCAATTTAATATACGTCCATTTTTTACATAGATTAATAATTATATACATGATTATACAGGGTGTCTTTTTATAGCAGGTTTTCTTTATTTTTTTGATCTATATGATAAAGTAACCAACGGTAACTTCTTTACTTTTTGCGCAGATTCCAAAACAGTCGTCAATTTTTTCGACGCATTATACGTCGACGTTGAAATCACTTTTTTAATTTAAAATGGAAACCCCTAATTTTTAAATTTATTCTCTACATTTTTCAAGTAAGTAACAGAAATTTAACACCTACAGTATGTAAATCAAACTAACGGGGAGGAAGACAACACTTCGGCAAGACCGACGAACATAGCGGGTTAAGCCTAACTTCATGCATGAAGAATTCTTGAATGCGTTAAGAAAGCCAACAGACTTTTTTTCCTTGCTTTGTTTTTCTCAAATCGTTTCAGATTTTTAAAAATCTGTCATAATATAATGAAAAAGTACGTCAAATTTTTAAAACAACTGAGTAAAACTGCAGGTTGGTCGTTTTTATATTTCCTAGACCTCCTCTACTCCCTAGTGATACGTCAGACACATTTCAAATATAGAATAGGAAAACAAAGACTAAACACTAACTTTGTTGGGGGAGACAAGCCACTGAATAAATCGAAATGCCAAACTCATGCGGTTACTATAATCAACCGAGATAAAAAAAAGAATGGGTAAACAATTTTTTTTCTTACTCAAATGTAGGCAAATCAAATGTGTTTACACGCTGGCCGATAAATTTTATACTTTCAAAAAATCCAAGGCTAATTCATTTTCTATTCCTCGTTACACTTATAAAATCATAAAATATAAAATAAGACGTACCTTTTCTGATTGATCCATTTTCGAAAAAATGCCACTAAAAGACGAGGAAAACGGAGCTTGGTAATATATTCTTCAATGGTTGGGGACAAAACATTTCTTCTACAAAATTAGTAAGGCGAACAATTAACTTTTTAGTTTTAATAGCCACAAAAATAATGAATATTTAAGTAATTTTTAAATTAAAGGTTATTTAGTTTTATTTAGTTTATATGTCTGGTAAATGTAAAAATATAAATAAGTGTTAAAACAATTGAGAAAATAGAGAAAATCTGGTATGGTGGCATTACGGAATTGCCTGAAATATGGATAGAAGTTTTCTATGTAAACAAACTAACGAAATATTTAAATAGTTGGCGATTGAAAATATAATTAATAACTTACAATTAATTAAGGTTTTTAGTTGAGATAAAAAAAGTCAATGGACCCAAATCAATGGCACGAGCGGGATTCGAACCCACGATCTTCGGCTAGATACGCCGCTGCTCTACCAGTTGAGCTGTCGTGACCTCGATCCACTCGGACACTAACTTCCCTAACTAACCCTATCTTTTGAATTTTCCCTCCTTTTGCCATATTTCAGAGCAGCGGCGTATCTAGCCGAAGATCGTGGGTTCGAATCCCGCTCGTGCATTGACTCTTTTGTCTCAACTAAAACCTTAATTAATTGTAATATATTAATTGGTCAAGCGGACCACGAAATTAGTGAACTTAATAATTAATAACTATTTTATCCGCATTTACTCAGTAAAAATATTTTTTCTGAAAGAGTAATAATGTAAACTTGTTTGATAGGGGACCGCGGTAGCCGAGTGGTTAGCATGAGAGACTCTCACGCCGCGGTCGTGGGTTCGATTCCCACCGTCGCCCCTGGCCCTTTTTTCACAATAACCCCCCCAAATTTGAACACACATATATGAATTGTCACATGGCTAATATGCATAGTTCATAACGCCAAAAAGAAAAAAAAAACTTGTTTGATACAAGTTTCTATATAAACGAACAAACGAAATATTTAAATAGTTGGCGATTGAAAATATAATTAATAACTATTTTATACACATTCACTCAGTAAAAATATATTTTCTGAAAGATTAATAATGTAAACACGGCATACAAATATCGCAGTGGTTATTTTTAACGTAATTTTATTGACTCTAAAACTTAAGACGCTTGAAGTTTAAATTAGCTAATAGGTTTAGCGACATATGGAAAAGGTTCTTGCAATATCCTATTTCGTCCAAAATTAACAATTGCAAACATTTGCTTAATCAGACTGACAGGCGTTTGGTAAAAAAGTTCCTAAGCCCCATTTCTTACGCAGCCTTTTTCTTATTCAAGTCCGAAGGATTTACATAAGCTTTCCTTATTACATCAGAGGAAGTTGAGTTCGGATTCAAGTTGAAAAAAAGTTAATTAGTTATGAAAAATGGCAAAAACGAACTAAACTGCTCTATCAGCGTGAATCTGAGAATTCGATTTCGTTTTCAAATTTTGAGGGTACTTTCTATTCAACGGTCCGCCGGTTGTGATTGATTATTCAATTAACTCCATCCTCGCTTCTTTTGGGATCATCCTCCAACATTTTTCCCTCAAAGCCCCTTCCATTTTAAAAAAGGGCTTTAATTTCCTGTCGATATCTATTTTTTCTCCTCGAATCTTGGCCGTACTAGTTTTTTATTTAATCGAGTATATTAAGAAATCTAAAGACTGAAAAAGGAATGATTCGAGGATTTTTTGGATAAGAGCATTACAAACAGTCGAAGATTGATAATTCTTCGCCCTCGCTCGGTTCAAAAGATTACTCTGCTTTTTCAACATCCAAGATATAAAATCTCATATATTTTATTTCCTAGGGGAAAGAAATAACGATCCTTTCCCCGTACTTTCTCGTACAAATGTAAACGCCCTGATAATTTCCTGTTAGTGAAAAGTTGAGAAAATTTTTCTTTCATTTCCGCCGCTAACGATGATTCTACTGGAACTTCGTTTTCATTCTTAATTCTGCAGGAATGCTGATACTTTTAATAATTTGAAACATGAATTTGTAAATAACCTTATATATCTTTATTTTGGAGAAAAATTAATTTCTCAGGCCCATGATAATTGTCACATTTAATAAAGATGAAATTATCGCCCCACCCGTGTTGAGTTTTATTCTTCATTAAATAACCGTATTTTATCTCATAAACATTCATGTATACTTTCGATTCCCTAAATGAATTACTTTTCATTTCCTTCAAAAAAAATAACTTAGAGAAAATTTTTTGCACAATCGTGTTGTAATTATAAATATTGTAAGTTAGATATGTTTATTTATTTATCTGTAGAAAGAAGTTGTAAAAAAACACAAGACAAAGATTCTTTGACGATTACAAAAATTACAAGTGACAAACAGAACTGTCTTGTAAAGAATGTAAATCACCCCCACACCAAGTTTATTTTTTTGACCTATTAGTAAAATATTGATATTCCACGCAGTCTGCCGGATTCAATCAAGGTTTTAAGTTGGTCGTCGTCCACAACTTTGTCCACACGCTTACTGCGACCTTCCCTGCCTTCGGGATCGAAATCTCCAAAACGAATTCTTTGAAACCATCGCTGCACCGTGCATTCGCTCATGCTTCCCTAAAATGCACGGATTTGATTTATATTGATCGCGAATTGGGCCGCACTCTGCTCAAGTTTAAATTCATACAAATAAATTTGACGAAAATCTAGTATGGACACATTTAATTTTGCAAGTCATCACTCTTATAAAATTCGAAACAAACTAAAATGTTTTGTAAAAGTTAAAAGTGGGGCATCGGTGGCCGCAACGGTTAAGGCGTTGACACGGCGCTCATCACTGTAAGGTAAAGGTCCAGGGTTCGAATCCAGCGGCCCTGCATTCGAACACGACATACTTACAAAAGGGCTTTTTTTCAAAAACACCGGCACCCCGAGGGTTGATATAACTTCTGCGGTGGCGAACCCTCGTTAAAAAAATATTTAAAAAAATAAAACAGTAAAAATACATAAATACTTTTACATAAATTTAATTTGAGTATTTAGTTTCGTTTATATAACAAGCACCTGCGAAAATAAAGCAAATTTTCAAAAACTTCATTAATTGTGCACTAACCCAATCAAAATGGACGGCTCTAAGATTTTATGAAAATATTAATAACAAGGAAATTTCGTAAATAATGTTTATTAAACGTAAATTTCCATTTTTTTCCTCCACGAGGTTGGTAAATAAACGTAATAATAAAAAACCTTTAAACACAACTATTTCTCATAATAAAAATGATTAAAATCGATTACAGCATGGTTTTTCAATTTGAAAATTTATTTGATGAAAGGTTCCCAAGACAAAATAATATTATCGTGTTAATTGTATAAATAATCGTTAGATACGTTTTTGTACTATAATTACTTACATTCAATTAAGCAATTCCTCTCATTTTTATTATGAGAAATAGTTACGTTTAAAGATTTTATTAGTATTACGTTTACCTATCCCACCTCACAGGGAAAAAAGAAAATATAACTTTCGTTTAATAATCATTAGTTGGGGAATTTCCTTGATTTTTAATATTTTCAAAAAATCCTAGAGCCGTCAATTTTGGGGGCGTTTCAATGTTCTGGTACTCACCCTTCTCAGAAAAAAATTAAAAATTTGGGGTTCACATTTGAAATAAAAATGTGACGTCGACGTCGACGATACTTGACGTTGAAAAAACAACAACATTGATTCTGCGAAAAAAATGTATCGGTGGTTACCAGTAGTCACTTTTTGTATTTGTTCAAAATAGGAAAAACTAGCAGGCACATGTAAAAAAAGGATAAACGATCAAAGATGGGACAATTGAAAGGAAAACACTCCGTTATTAATTTAAAAGTCTAAGAAATATGATCATCTATTGACAATTTGAACCCCATGGTTTGAGGTGCAACAAGTTAAATATTGAGATTGTATAACACAAGAT